AAAAAAAAAGAGTAACAATTAAATCTGCATCGTTCTGAGAATTAGTACACATTTTTAATGTAAATTGTATTTTTTTATTCTGTATACTGCTGAACTTCATCTAAAGTTATATATTTAAAAGAGTTTCGTATGTATATATAATTGGCAATAATGGTTTGATTCACATTGCAAAAGTATCTTTCTGCAAAGATTTTTTCACGGTCCATAAGTAATTCCGGGCATCGTCTTACTTTTCTGAAACTCTGGCCTTTGCGACTTTGGCCGAGAAGATATTTTAGTGTGTTTCGTCGGGCCTGTGGCAATTGGCCAGTGTCGAATGTGCGAAGCTACGCCGTGATCAGAACACTATTGTAGTTGAAACTTATTTCTATGAAATTACTTCGATATTTCCAATTCGAGATGTATACAAAATAATTGGCTATAATAAAATATAAGTTATTTTCATTTAAACATTTTTTTGAGTTTATTAAATAATGTTAAATTTGTAAGTAATGTTAATAATGTTCAATTGTATAATTGAATCGATAGATTTAATGTAAATCAAAATTATTAATTCTTTCGTTCTGTCACACGATTATTAATTATCCTATTTTCAAATACGATTGAACTTGAATATATGTTATAGGATACGGTAATATAGAATTCATTTTTTAGTTGATTTATGACACGTTTGACATAGCTTTCGTAGCTATTATAATAATTGTTTAGCCGATGGTTATTTGATCATATTATCTGAAAAGTTATTATTTTTTAATTGCATTATATATAATATATATAATTATAATTTCTATCAAACCTCCATATAATTTTAAAAATATTATATATAAAAATATATATGAAAAATATTATATCACATTTTTTTTTTTTTTTTTTTGGTTTCATAAAAATTAGCCGATTTATAGAAATCCTGAATTGTCGATATTACTTTTTATAGAATCGTTCTACTCGAGTCGGTGTGAAGATTCTTGTGCACTGAACCAAATGCATAAATGTTCCCGTTTTAAATAACTTTCTAATTTTGAATGTTACTTGGATATTCCACAGCGTCTTCTTGCTTCAAGATTTCCCATGTTTCTATTTCTTGAAAAAAGACTACCATAACATTGTTATTGCTCTTTAAATTATTTTCTCTTAATTTCCTATAAATTATAATTATATATTATATATCATACATACTACTATAATATTATTAATATTATCCATTATCCAATAATTATAACTTTAAGATAAAATTAATTCGAATACAAAATTCAAGTAACGTGTCGTTATTGTAACAGCTCAATTTCATTTTCTCAAAAGATTCAGAGCTTATACTGATTCTTATTATCCAGGCCATTTGCTATTTGAACTTGCATCTTCGAGTGTTCTAAAGTTCTAAAGTTTTTTTGGCCAGCGGATTCGACAGGAAAGTTCGAAAAAATTGAAAAACTACGCGGACGCAGTATTTATCAACATATAGTATACACGTAACACGGTCGTTGCTTCCACGGTAGCTGAATTCAGAAAAGCGGCCTTTATGCTCGACCGAACGTCCCAAGCGTAGTTGCGTTCGGCTCTAGGATGGGGAAAGAGGGAGAAAGAATGGAAAAGAGAAAGAGCAACCAATGGTGGTGGAGGAGGAACCCGATGGCAATACAACAATATGATTATACGGCGTGCTGCACCGGTTTTCTGCAGCAGCTGCCGTCGTTTTGGGGGATCCAACAGAAACAGACGAGGAAGGGCCGAAGTGGTGCACTGTCATGGATGGTGCTGGTAGTAGTAAAGGCAGGTGGGGTGGGGGGTTGCAGGGTGCGACGGGTGAGGAGAGGAGTGATCAGGAGAGACCGTAGGGCCCACTTCGCTCGCACAGGGCCTGGTGTGCACAATATGAGTGTGAGAAAGAGGGAGTGAGAGTATGGAAAGAAGGAAAGAGGGAAAGAGAGAGAGAGAGGGCGAGGTAGAAAGAGGGCCCTTTCTATGTAAACGGCAGACCTCTATTTCCATCTTTATCTGCGGCATTGCAGAAACTCGAAAGCCGAACCACCACGAAAAATACCCTACTAGCAGCTAGGTTCGACCAGGTTTTGCTTCTCGCAAGAAAACTGGCTCCCTTTTTTAGGCCGTTACCGAGCCTTGAATGGAGGTCAGGGTCCCTTCCCTCTTTGCCCTTTTCTTGTTCTTCGAGGTACCTTTCCGCATCTTTCTTGTTTCGGCACCACCACGTACCAGTGGTGCCTGTTTCTGTTCTTGTTCCTCGGCGGCAGACTCCACGACGGTTTTCCCTCGGATATAATAGGGGTCCGGCTTCCGCGCAGAAGGGGATTTTTATCTGTTCCCTTTATATGCACGAAGGAGTCATCGATTCAAGAGAATTGAGAGAAGAAGAGGGTAGAACTGTACTTGGAATATCAGGATAAGAAAAGGGAGAAACGGTTCTTTCTTTAGTGCGACGTGTACGATACATGAAATCTTTTTTAAAAAGTGAAACGTGAATGCACGGTACACTATGTTTGTGCATTTTACGAAGATCATGCGGGGCGATGGAGCGTCGTGTATCACGGGTATTAAATTCTAAACGCGTACATTCTGCTTTTTCCTTGTTCATGCCGCGCTCCGTTTTACCATGTTTCGAATTTCTCTTAGAAGATTCTCTCATCGATTTTACCTTCCTTTACAATAAGATTATATTCCAGTCATTCCGTAATTTATCAATTACTTTCAAGTCCTTAGAGCAATAGTATTACATGTGTATTCTTTGTTTACTTCTGTCTTCAAAAAGAACTTCTTCGTTAAGTTTTACATTACTTTATACAAAATCGAATATACTTGTAAATTTAAATAAAATCACTTTTCGTGTTTAACTCTCATCTGGCCTCTATTTGTTCCTTGGTGTCAAATTGACAAAATAGTAAATAATTAATGTTTACAATGGAAAAAAATAAATAACTAAATTTGCAAGTTCCTGTACCGATAAGAACAAATAGACCAAATTTATATGTTTAATTGCGTGTAAGATTCACAAAAATCCTATATATAATCTCATATATAAATTACGTACAGATCAATTTCATCGTAATTTTATTTTCTTGTTATAGACTTGTTACAATCATATGTTATAATTATATTCCAAAACTATAAATGTTTACACGCATTGAAAAGGTGCATTGAATATATTGTATATAATATAATAATAATAATTAGAACGCAATATAAGCCCGTCAAAGGACTTGAAAACGAACATTATTTACAATTTTGACAAAATATTTTGTTACCAAAA